AACCTATGCTAAATACTTGATGATGCTGATACTTGTAGCTCGGTGTTTCCGGATCTCTCTCCATTTTTTTCAGGTTACATTCCAGATCGGCGTACACGACAAATGGGACACGTTCCTTCCTGCTGTAGTTGTTAAAACTCAGTCACTTGTCGTCTTCACTCGGTAACCTGATCGCGCATTCGTTCATCTCCCTGCAGTCGACGGTGTGGACCTCCAACTTTTCGCTCAAACTGAAATAATGTAGACACCTGGAAAAATCAATTTATTTCATTTACATTTTTATTGCAAAAATTTTTTTTTAATTTTTATTATACATACCTATCGCAAATGTATCTTTTATTCTTTTTTTGCTCAGTTGCGAGCTAACGAGGCGAGACAATTTCTTGATCCATGTGAAATGTCCCACACCGTCTTTCTCCACATACAGTAAATTGACATGCATCTTCTTCTTCGTGTCAGCAAGACGAATCGGTAGGATCGATACTTGTTCCGTGTTCTCGATGGTATATACGTTGATGGAGATTGCGTTGAGATTCTCAAACTTTTTTATTTGATTTAACGTCATTGGAAATTTAATGTCTTTGAGATTTAACACAGATTTATAATGCGGATACAATGATTCCCGATCCACGTGACTTTCAGCTGGATATAGAGCGGCCACCACCGACCATGTGAAACATGCATTGTCCATAGATTGCATGTTCACGACCGCTTTCTTCGTTATAATTTCTCGCGGTAACTGGATATGACACCCCGCGTGCAAAGGATTAAACTTATTTATATTAACTAGAAAGTTTAATATACATGATAATGCCCACCACCCGCTGTCACGTTCTTGAAATTCTTCCAACGACGCTAAGGTAGGCTCAACAACGCGCGAATCGTACCACACGCGTAAATCGGAGCAATGATAGAGTTCACAGTTTCTCGTAATAACACTTTTATTATCACGTTTGTCACCCGTTACGAATTCACCGTTGAATACAGTGTTTATCTTGATATTATTATATCTTTGCATAACATTTTGCACACGTT